GGGTTTACAATCAAATTGCCCAGCTCAGCGAACAAACCAACGACCATCTATACTACCTGAGCTACCAACATTCTACTCTATAGCATGCAATACCTCTGCTCGCGCCCTGCAAAATAATGCTACGTGTCGTGAATAAGCCTGTTAGTGAACCTAACAAAATGTTATACAAACCTCAGAAGAATCGGATGTTCCGCCACAACATTTAGACAAAGAAACTGTACTGAGCAACAATCAAGCCAGTGCACTCTCTGAGTCGGCTACATCCAGGACTGTGGTATATTGAAAGAATCACTTCACAGGTTCTTCAGGCTAGACGCTGTTTGTTCGAAATTTCTTCGATTGGATTAGGGAGGAAACAAGGTCCTCATCAAAATTACCTCTCTGGGTTAACACACATATAGGTCAAGTAAATTGTTCATCTTGTACAGGCAGAAACGACCCAAAACAGGGGATGTGTTGCCATAACAAAATTGCAATACAACAAATACAAATCTTTCAAGACTCAAACAAGTGGCTGAAATCATTCACCAGTTATCAGGATTTCACTGCCGCTTATAAGAATTTTTTTAATCAGCTAGGTAAAACGAATCCGAAAGCATCTGGCTATTTTAGAAGCTCACGTGAATACACAAAGTAGGACAGTTCTGAGATTTCTCCGCTATTTTTATCGTCACGGTGTGCATACGTCACCGGAAGAATGCCACGATCCAGTACCCTACATTTTTAACTAATTAGTGCACACTCGTATCAGTTATCCAGCCAACATGACTTGTGTGCGTCAACAGAGCCCACGAAACTGAAGAAATTTGAAGCTGCTGAAGTGAATCAAATGTAATCGAAGTTTATTTTGGCCCTGTCATGTTTTTTCTATAAAAACAGGAATACCATCAACAGTGTGACTCAGTTCTGGTCGGGCGCCACCGTCGATCAGTAGTGGGTTGCGCGTTACGACAAACGTAGATCAGACTGGTCAAAGTAGCTTTTTCACTGACGTGTTGATGGCGTGGAAAAAATCAACGCAGGTTCTACAATTGATGTACATTTATAGCCAGTTGAACGGCTAGATAGTTACCCAACCTTGATGAAACTAATCCATCAGCTGTCTTTGGTCCAGCGACAAGTTAGGCCATGACTAGTTGCTGTGTAGCAGTGTCTTCAATGTCTTCTCTAGTGTCCACTGTAAATCGTCGCAGGGTTCAGCTGAAATTTTTACTGAGCGATGGACAGACTGAGAGAGGAAATCTACAAGCTGGAAGCAACAGCCCAAAGTACTGCAGTGTGAATCCGAAGACGACGGTATACAGAGTATAAATATGGTTCGGTATTGGCGCGGATATAAAATGGTCATGTGCTGAGGGAGACAGCATGAAGCGATGACGCTGGGTATGCAACCGGTACCTGCGATCTATTTGTAGAATAGTTCAGCTATAGAACCCTTTCGGTGCCCAGCTGTCATCCAACCAAACGAAGCCCGAGGTTGCTCAAGCCTAGACAGGAGTAGTCAAGATGCAGAGGTCGGATCCGAAACACGGACCTTCCTGTCAGTAAGTTCGCGCCACTGAGCCATCTCGAGTCATATCTTATCCACTGATGGAGCCCATCCAGGGGAACCCACCTGAGGATTATGCAGCCTCAAATTCGACCGAGTTTGTCAGTTATGGTTTTCAGCTTCG